GGTGAAAATATTAATATGGCCAGAGAGAAAATAAATAAAAAGAGTGGGGCTGCTATGAGTGCAGGCAGCCTAGGAACAGTTCAACCCAGTGGCATGACAACACCGGCCCTCGCAGCCAAAAAATAGACCGGCCCACCGGGAATCCTCCCGGTGCTCCCGATTAGCCAATCCGGGCTTGGGCTAAACTGAAAAAGTCATAAATTGTATTTTTAAAGTCAGATTTTTTGAAGTGAAAAAAAATTATTTTTATAATTATTTTGATTTTTGATTGTTGAAAATTTCAAATATATGTTCATAAAAGTATAATTGTCTTAAGAATAACTCTAAAAGAAAAACCTTTTCCATGTTTAACTTATTAAAATTAATTTCTGAATATATAAAGCAAATTTTGATTTATTTTTATGATTTATTTTTACTTGCCTGTCAAGAGGTAAAATACTGGCCAAACCACAAAAAAATCTTAAACGTATCAGAACAGTCTTCATAAATAAATGTGTAATTTTTAAGTATCTGAAAGTACATTTTAATTGAATTTAATTTCTTAATATATAAAGCAAATTAACTCATCCAAACCAAACTGTAACTCTAAAAGAAACTAGAAACTATAATTTTTAGTTTTTGTACCTTTAAGGATGTCTCTAAACACCTCCAAAGGGAGATTTTGTCAGATTTAGTTAACTTCTGCGCATCCTTAAGTACGTGTGTGAGTGTGTGGTAGTGTGTGAGGGCTGACAGCTCTTTTTCAGATGTGCTGTAATGGCTTGCTGTTAATGCTAAGGGAAGGAAAGGTGAAACGTGTCAAATTAATAGGAACCTTTTAATATGGATAATATGTGTGTGTGTGTGTGTGTGTGTGTGTGTGTGTGTCGAGTGAGTCGTAGTGAGTCGTATCACTATAGGGAGTCTGTGTAAATTGTCCTCTAGCCAACCTTTGCCTTCTATCTACACACACACATATATATCATAGAATGATATATATATATATGTATATCATTATATACTGTATATTATGTGGACCAGCAGAATATCCAGGGATACTGGTTAACTTATGATGCTATTAAGCTTTAAGCTTCACACACACGTGCACACACACACACACACACACATCCTCTGTGGCTGGTTTCTGGGTCAGCCGCCCTTATAGTATTGCATTGAATGATCTCTTTAGAGAAAGAACTAGTGGAACTCTATACACAGAGGATCACAGCCATGTGCCAGATTGTCTTACGGCCACTGATACCCTTATTGAATGACATTGCTTTTTAATCCCACACACATCTTTGCGCATTCACACACATACACAGTTCACACGGACTACAGTACACACGCATTCTTTCATACGCTCAGCAACAGTGCGTCAGTATGTAATTTAATGATGTATGTGATAGCCACTGTATGCTTCATCCACGTGTAAATACAATTCCCTGAATGCTAATTGTTGCACCTTCTTCAATTGTGGTGATATGAGTAAACTTTGATGTTTTATTTGATGACTAGAAATTTCAAAAGAACAGTATTTATTTGAAATAGAAAACTTCTGTAACATTATAAATGTCTTTACTGTCACTTTTGATGTTAACGTACTGACCTCAAACTTTTGAACAGTTGTGTATTTTATGCGATATTTACTCAAACTTCACTCAAACATATTGAAACAGGCGAGGTGACTATAGTTGACTAGGTGCATTATCTGTCACATGACAGGTGAATATGATAATTGTTACCCTGGACCACAAACCAGTCTTAAGTCGCTGGGGTATATTTGTAGCAATAGCCAAAAATACATTGTATGGGTCAAAATTATTGATTTTTCTTTTATGCCAAAAATCATTAGGATATTAAAGCTGCAGTCCGTAAGTTTTACCTCTTTGTCGCCATCTCTGTTTGAAAACCTGGAATTGCAGTTACTTGCAGAATTATCTTCCTTGCATGGGTTGTACTCTTGCACGGCTCAGGCGCGGATGAATCTAATGTTTTGAGGAGTATGTGTGGCAGTCAGTCACCGCACCGGTGTGAATCCTATACTTAGCAATCACAGATTCTAGCCTACGTCTTGGAATATATGACCCAAATAAGAATTTTCACCGTATATTGTCATCTGAACAAGTAAGTAACAAGTCTGCCACGTTTGTTCTGACCAACTGAGGATAAAAGCATTACAATAAATCGTGCTACCAATGGTGATTTAATCTAACGATCGATTAGCTCATATCACATCAAACTGTGCAAATGATTATTGTTATACTTTATTCTCAGATTATTAATG